GTAGGCTCGCTGCGAACAACGCTCGACTCTGTAGCTCCTCTTAAAAAGAAGTTAACAAAGCAAAGAAAGTTTGCTCCTTGGTATAACTCTCAAACCCGTAGGTTAAAACAAATATCGCGAAAATTTGAAAGGAATTGGCGATTAACCAAACTGGAAGAATCTCGTTTAATCTGGACAGACAGTCTCAAAACTTATAAGAGGGGCCTCCGCAATGCCAGAGCAAACTATTACTCAGCATTAATAGAAGAAAACAAGAACAACCCCAGGTTTCTTTTCAGCACTGTAGCCAGGCTGACTGAGAGTCAAAGCTCTATTGAGCCTTGTATTCCTTTAGCCCTTAGCAGTAATGATTTTATGAGCTTTTTTAATGACAAAATTCTAACTATTAGAGGCAAAATTCATGACCTCCTGCCCTCAGATGGTAGGCCTACCTATCTAACCTCAAACACAGCTGTAGAATCTAATATATATTTAGATTGCTTCTCCCCAATTTCTCTTCAAGAATTGACCGCAGTGATTTCTTCATCTAAATCATCAACGTGTCTCTTAGACCCCATCCCAACTAGGCTACTTAAGGAGGTCTTTCCTTTAGTTAACACTCATATATTAGATATGATCAATATATCCCTATTAACAGGCTATGTACCACAGTCTTTTAAGGTAGCTGTAATTAAACCTCTCCTAAAAAAGCCCACCCTGGATCCAGAGGTGTTAGCCAACTATAGACCAATATCTAATCTTCCCTTTATGTCAAAGATCCTTGAGAAAGTAGTCGCAGACCAGCTGTGTGATTTTCTCCAGGATAATAATTTATTTGAGGAATTTCAGTCAGGATTTAGAGTGCATCATAGCACTGAGACAGCTCTAGTTAAAATTACAAATGACCTTCTGATTGCTTCAGACAAAGGACTCGTCTCTGTTCTTGTTTTATTAGATCTTAGTGCGGCGTTTGACACAATTGACCATCAAATTCTACTGCAGAGACTGGATCACTTAATTGGCCTAAAAGGTTCAGCACTAAGCTGGTTTAAATCTTATTTATCTGATCGTTTTCAATTTGTTGACGTTCGTAATGAATCATCCTTACGTACCAAAGTTTGTTTTGGAGTTCCGCAAGGTTCTGTGCTCGGACCAATCCTATTTACTCTATATATGCTTCCTTTAGGTAACATCATTAGAAATCACTCTATAAATTTCCATTGTTATGCGGATGATACACAGTTGTATTTATCGATGAAGCCAGAAGAAAGTAATCAATTAACTAAACTCCATAACTGCCTTAAAGACATAAAAAATTGGATGAGCACCAATTTCCTGATGTTAAATTCAGACAAAACTGAAGTTATTGTTCTTGGCCCCAAACAACTCAGAGACTCTTTATCTGATGACATAGTTTCTCTAGATGGCATTGCTCTGGCCTCTAGCACTACCGTAAGAAACCTCGGAGTAATATTTGATCAAGATTTGTCTTTTAATTCTCATTTAAAGCAAACCTCACGGACTGCATTTTTTCATCTGCGTAATATTGCGAAAATTAGGCCTATCCTGACCCGAAAAGATGCAGAAAAATTGGTCCACGCTTTTGTTACCTCAAGGCTGGATTACTGTAACTCTCTATTATCAGGTAGCTCTAGTAAGTCCTTAAAAACTCTCCAGCTAATTCAGAATGCAGCAGCACGTGTACTAACAGGAACTAAGAAACGAGATCATATTTCTCCTGTTTTAGCTTCTCTGCACTGGCTCCCTGTAAAATCCAGAATTGAATTTAAAATCCTACTGTTAACTTATAAAGCTCTAAATGGTCAAGCTCCGTCATATCTTAGAGAGCTCATAGTGCCATATTATCCCACCAGAACACTGCGCTCTGAGAACGCAGGGTTACTCGTGGTCCCTAAAGTCTCCAAAAGTAGATCAGGAGCCAGAGCCTTCAGCTATCAGGCTCCTCTCCTGTGGAATCATCTTCCTGTTACGGTCCGGGAGGCAGACACCGTCTCCACATTTAAGACTAGACTTAAGACTTTCCTCTTTGATAAAGCTTATAGTTAGGGCTGGCTCAGGCTTGCCCTGTACCAGCCCCTAGTTAGGCTGACTTAGGCCTAGTCTGCCGGAGGACCCCCCTATAATACACCGGGCACCTTCTCTCCTTCTCTCTCTCTCTCTCTCTCTCTCTCTCTCTCTCGTATTCTATTACTGCATCTTGCTAACTCGGCCATTCTGGATGTCACTAACTCGGCTTCTTCTCCGGAGCCTTTGTGCTCCACTGTCTCTCAGATTAACTCATATCGCAGCGGTGCCTGGACAGCGTGACGTGTGTGGTTGTGCTGCTGCCGTGGTCCTGCCAGATGCCTGCTGCTGCTGCTGCCATCATTAGTCATTAGTCATACTTCTACTGTTATTATACACATATGACTATTATCACACATGTATACTGCCAGATATTAATACATACTTTCAACATATTGTACCACAGCAGCCAGAACTATAACTATAATATTATTACTTTCAATAATGTTGTTGTAAGCTACTGTCATTACCTGCATCTCTCTCTCTCTCTCTCTCTCTCCCTCTCTCTCTCATTGTGTCATGCGGATTACTGTTAATTTATTATGCTGATCTGTTCTGTACGATATTGATTGCATGTCTGTCCGTCCTGGAAGAGGGATCCCTCCTCAGTTGCTCTTCCTGAGGTTTCTACCGGTTTTTTTTCCCCGTTAAAGGGGTTTTTTTGGGGAGTTTTTCCTTATCCGCTGCGAGGGTCATAAGGACAGAGGGATGTCGTATGCTGTAAAGCCCCGTGAGGCAAATTGTGATTTGTGATATTGGGCTTTATAAATAAAATTAATTGATTGATTGATAAGTTTTCATTGTCACATCTTCCTGCTATGCTGGGCAAATATCATCGCATCATACATACCGTAAAACTTAAATTAAAAGCCTAGTCCCAATTTAACACCCGGTCCCTTTTACTAGTTGGGTGTAGCCACATATTTTTACAAATAAATGCCTAGACGCCTGATCTGGTTCCCAAGCAGTTCATTTTTAAAGAAGTTCTTTGGATGTATAAAACAGCTTTTTGGCTACCCACTTGAGCTAACTTTAGCTAGCTGTTTAGACATACAAATATGGATGTTTGAACTTTTGTCTATATGGAGATGATACACATTGTTAGCTCAGTTCATTTCATTTTACTGAAACATGAGAACCAAAGAAGACCGTAATTCATTAAGATTTACCACCACCGTGACTCCCTTCCTCTGAAGCCGTCATAAAGTCAGAATATGTGTCCATTCCTCAATTACCTGGGAAGTTGATCATATTCCTTTAGTCTGTAAGGGTCCACTGATCAAAAGAATCAAAAGTGTTTTTCATATAAATTAATTCAAGTTGTGAGTATTAACAGGATAAAGTGGTGTTGTCGGTGTGCTGGGTGTTCAAGTGCCATGAAACGAGTGTCATAATAAAACACATAATTGATATGTTATTCAAAGTTTTATACAAGTAATTTCTATACTTGTTCAAATAAACAATTTGATCATATTTCCCACCTTTACTGAGCAAAAGTTTTCATGTACAAGGAATTAAAGGCCTGTCCCAGATATAGGCCTGTTGAATTCAGTGATTTAAGCAAATAATAGCCCGGGCTATTAATTGAAGTTTTACAATATTTTACCTTCACGTAATGATCCATACCATGTGAGTTCACTGATTTAACGACTTCTTTGAGATTTCTGTGTCTATGCCAGCACCCCGTACACAGATGAACAACATACATTTTGCTTGTAGTGCTTACAGCGCTGATGTGTTGCAATTAAAAATCAACATCTTATGAGAATATAGTCACTGTACTAAACCCACACAACAAACATTGGGAAACAATGGGCCTCATGCAATAAACAATTTACGAACGGATTATTATTACGGATACTTATTTTGTTAGTACCCATTGACTTTTGGGATTCACCAATGTTTTCTTATTTTTGCTTTTCTCTATGGTAAGAACAAAATTTACAAGTGGTTGAGAGCACTCTTACCAAGATAAGAGAAAATCATCCTGTTTGCACAGCTCACAAATTGCTTGTCGAATGCACTGAAACATATGTTTTTTATTTCAGGAACATAAGAAAACAGATTATACAATATAATGTAGATTAGTATATGCTTTTAAATGACTTTTAATGATTTATTATTTAATTCAAAATCATATTGGTTAATTGAACCCAGTCAAGACTATAAATACAGATGGGTGGCTGATTGGTGAGTGAATTATGATTCTAAACAAAATATATATATATTATGTTTCTTTATCAATCTCATCTTAACTGATTCTTGCAAAGGTGACCGAGGTTATGCCCTCACCCCATGGCTGATGACCCCCCTGCAAACCCCCAGACCAGGTAGGAGCGCTCTTACAATCACCGGCACGCATGCACGCACCTGCTTGGTGGTGGAGCGCACAATTGGAGTCCTGAAGGCCAGGTGGATGTGCCTGTAACACCAGTCCTGATGCTCTGGAAAATTAAATGTTTCCTGTGTTTAATTTCATTTAATAGTGCCTCAATTTCATTGTTGCTAAAGTTCTTCTTCTTTCTACTTTCCTTTTTCAGTGGCATCTCTCCAATTGCTGTGCCAGAGTTAGGTCTTTGAACGCGGCACATCACCTGCCCTTATATGGTGTTTATGGGTGTCACATATGCTAATTGAAAACAATCGGCCACACGCCTCCAATTTAAGATCAAGTGGGATTCATCATTCAGCACACCTGGGTAAGAGCAGATTTGGATGGTAAGAGCGTTTGTTGCATGTGCAGTTGACTTCTCTTATTTTTTCTCTTAACCCAAAAAATAAGAGAAAATATAAGAGAAATTTAAGAGAATGTTGCTGCATGAGGCCAAATGTGCTGCTTTTTTCCCCCGTAACAAACCTAAATAGCACACTTGAGAATAACTGATTGTAAAAGTACATTTTAAGAAATAATAAGGCAGGGTTTTATTGTCTGTACATACCTTTAGTGCTTTTAATGGAAGCATCTTCAATATAATGTGATACATTTTTTTAATCTGCTTTAGATGGTAAAAACTTAGCAACATACTATTTGTATTCTGATCATCAAGAAGATTGTACTTTTTACTCAAGTTGTATAAAAAATACAGATAAACTCACAAAATACACATTAGTTAGATAATATAAATACATACAGTGACTGGATTACATGACATCATGATCAGTTTAAATGATACTGGTTCTAAATCATATTATTATTGCACACTAAGTTAAAATTATGGTTGAACAAGGTTCCAGTTGTTATTACTCTTATTTTAAAGCCATTAATTACTTTTGTTTCAGTGGGCCAGATGCTTAAAGTTGTCTCCCTCATGGATAGGCTTTCTGGGTGGTCAAAAAGAGAAATAGGAAAACTTCAAGTAAAGGTCTATGCTATCATGGTTGAATAAATATGCCGTTGTAGTCGACCTTTACTATCAATGTGTGTGGTCATCCCAACACTGAATTCAATATCTGGAGTTTTTTCATGCCATATAAGAGTCCTCTCGAGTTTTTAAGGTGGACAAAGTCCATTTTCATATCATAGTAATAGAAGTATTTATCTAATGGTATTCCACGTGGACATGACTCCTGCACCATTACTGGCCTGTCAGTAGCCATGACAGCAGCACAAGGATGGATGCAGTGATGAGACTGATCTTGTGGCTTACTCCACTTGAAACCTCTGTGAATGAGGAGGAAGGGAAACAATACGTGCTTTAACAAATAAAAAACAAATCTGTAATGTTAAAATGTTTGGTGAGGCAGCAGTCAATATTGCTTACGTGTGCCATCCACAGAAATGGAGGTGGGGTCAATGTTGAAGGTCGTGATGTTTGAAGCTGCACCAGCCAAAACATTTCCAATCTGAGTGCCATTAGGAACATTTGAGGACGCAAATCCAAGGTCCAGGTCATTGATGACTGATCCATTCCTGCAAAAGGAATAGCCAGAAAGTATTTTATTTATATACATTCATGACAAATACTGTACAGATTCTATCAACATAACATAAACACATTACCTGAATGAAATCACCGTCAAAGAACGGAATGAAGAAAATGCTGCTTGGTAGAAAGGTACAAGCTGCAGAAACAAAGAAAATCATTTTTGAGTATATTTATCATATTGGTTTGCATTTTGTCACTTCTGCATTGTCCTTTTAGTTATGATATTTGCACAGACTAATAACACAATTCCATTTATCAATTTCTATAATGATTACCACCTAATTTATCTCCCTTTAGTGTATATGGAAGGATGGTTATGAAGTTGTTGGGGTTTCTTTTTCTTTGAAAACACAACACAAAGCAATGCAACATCTGGAATGAAATGCCATCTTCCAGTTTCCATTCACTGTGAAACAAGAAACAATCTATCTAGCATCTAGTTCACAGAAATTACCCACACTTAAATGTATAATTAGAAATGTGTTTGCATTAGACAGGGCTACTTTGAAATTTGTATAATTATAATTATGTTGGAAGGAGTTTTATTTTTACAGTGTAGCTCCACCACACTTTGAAAGGAAATTTACGAGGTGACAATTTTAGAGGAAAATTGTAAAAGAAATGTTGATGAGAAATGATGAATGTGCAAAACAAAAGATGGCATGTTGCAGAAAGGCTGTGACATGAAAGACATCTAATGAAACATGTCCAGTTAAGATGCCTATATTTTGCTAAGCTTTACTGTAAGAGAGTGACTTACTGCTGACGCAATTAGTCTGGCTCGACTTATAAATGCTGCAGATGATGAATTCCCTAGGTCACTTGTAAATGTCTCTCCAACAGATGTGAAAGTCAACCGCGTTGTTGTAACTGCCTCTATATTAGCAGCAGTTGTTGTAGTGGGGGCTGCAGTCGTGGCGGCTGCAGTCGTGGGGGCTGCAGTCGTGGGGGCTGCAGTTGTTCTTACTGCAAAAACAAATACGGAACAATATAAAGAAATATGTAAAAAAAAAATAAATGATAGTAGCCAGAGGGACTTCTGTTTGAACAAATATACACATCGCATCATACTGTAAGTGTATGTATGATAAGTTACACTTTAAAGGTCTAGTGTGTAGGATTTTGTGGCATTTAGCAGTAAGGTTGCAAAACTGAAACTTCCGTGTGCCAAGCGTATAGAATAATTATGATGGCTGATGTAAAAAAAAAAAAAAAAAAAGGCAAAAGGCCTTATCTAGAACCAGTCCGATTTCTCCGTTCTGGGCTACTGTAGAACAACTCCGTGGAGGAAGACACTCTCTTATATACTAACCACTTAATATTTAACACTTAAAGACATAACAATTTGTTGTTTCAGGTTTTTATGAAGTAATTTACAAATAGTAATGAATATTAAATACCATTTCTACCAATAGGTGCCCCTAAATCCTGCACCCTAGACCTTTAAGTACTCTTGCATGGTAATTATGATTGTGTATGCTCTTTGTCAACCCAGCAATTTGTCAAAAAAAGGTATCAGGAAAGGAGTCCAGAATAACTTCGATGGTAAGGTCAATAATAATAATGGCAGTAAAAAGAGATCACTTAAACCCAGTCCTAAATTGTAGTAGAATATGAATCCGGTAGAGTTATTTTGAGATTAAAGTCTGAAGTATATCAGAAATCATCTTTGGACAATTCACACCAAGCAGTATACTGTGGTTCACCAAAAAAAATTGAAATTGAATAAACACATGCTCAGACCAAAATATGGAGCGTGGACTGGTAGCTGGAGAGGTGCCTGTTCACCTCCTGGGCACTGCCGAGGTGCCCTTGACCAAGACACTGAACCCCCCCACCCTCCCCCCCCAAACGCTCATGGGCAGCCCCCTCACTCTGACATCTCTCCATTTAATGCATGTATAGGTCCTGTTTGTGCATGTGTGTGTGCAGTCTCATATAGGGGAAGTGTATACTTACCAATGACTTGGACTGAGGCGGCATCAACAGTGAGGTTGAAGGTAGAGTTGGGGTTAGAGACAGCCTCTACTAAGGTTTCTGCAACATTATTAGCCGTTGGAATTTCTTCGGCTGAAGCAGTTTCATTGAACTCAATCCCCATCTCTGCTTCAGTATTATCCACTCGTGGTCGGCCCGCAGCCGATCTGCATCAATAAAGCACAGAACGTGATCAGATTATATTAAAATGGATAGCTTATGCATGTGTGATGATTTCATTTAATTTTTTTTAGAATGATATTCAAAAATTACAATAATAAAATGTTACCTAAATTCTATGACAAAACTGCGGATGAAAAGGATGCCATATCGGGTCCTGTAGATGACATCGTACTGTAGAAGAGAGGCAAATAAAAAGTATAAAGAAACTAAAAATACGGTATTCTCCAAATGTAATTAAAACTGTAAGCTCACTTGCTGTACATGAAAAAATAATGAGGAGTACAAACCACTGCTACAACTTGAGCCTCAAGCTGCTTAAATTCTGGGGTGGTTTTATCAGTGAGTTCTTGTCTGAATGTTACTTGCAAGGTTGCTGCGATAACCACAACTGGTGGGGGAGCTGGAGTAGTAGTAGTACTAGATGCACCAGTTGTTGTAGGTGCACCAGTTGTTGTAGGTGCACCAGTTGCTGTCACAGCAGTTGTTGTAGGTGCACCAGCTGTTGTAGCTGCACTCGTTGTCATCACACCAACTGTTGTAGGTGCACCAGTTGTTGTCAGTGCACCCGTTGTAGGTGCACCAGTTGTTGTCAGTGCACCAGTTGTTGTCAGTGCACCCGTTGTAGGTGCACCAGTTGTTGTCAGTGCACCCGTTGTAGGCGCACCAGTTGTTGTCACGATGGTTGTTGTAGGTGCACCAGTAGTTGTCACAGTGGTTGTTGTAGGTGCACCAGTTGTTGTCACACCAGTTGCTGTAGGTGCACCCGTTGTTGTCACACCAGTTGTTGTAGGTGCAACCGTTGTTGTGGGTGCACCAGTTGTTGTCACACCAGTTGTTGTAGGTGCTCCTGTTGTTGTCACACCAGTTGTTGTAGGTGCAGCAGTTGTTGTAACACCAGTTGTTGTAGGTGCACCAGTTGTTGTCACACCGGGTGTTGTAGGTGCACCAGTTGTTGTCACACCAGTTGTTGTCGGTGCTCCTGTTGTTGTCACACCAGTTGTTGTCACACCAGTTGTTGTAGGTGCACCAGTTGTCACGCCAGTTGTTGTAGGTGCACCAGTTGTTGTCACACCAGTTGTTGTCATGCCGGTTGTTGTAGGTGCACCAGTTGTTGTCACACTGGTTGTTGTAGGTGCACCAGTTGTTATCACACCAGTTGTTGTGACCCCAGTTGTTGTAGGTGCACCAGTTGTTGTCACACCAGTTGTTGTAGGTGCACCAGTTGTTGTCACACCAGTTGTTGTAGGTGCACCAGTTGTTGTCGCACCAGTTGTTGTAGGTGCACCAGTTGTTGTCGCACCAGTTGTTGTAGGTGCACCAGTTGTTGTCGCACCAGTTGTTGT